CAGCCCGCGCCGACGGCGTCCCAGGGCGCACGGAGGGCACCGCGCGCCGCGCTTCGGCAGCCCCGGGCGCCCCGGCCGCCCCCCGCGCACTGGACCGCCAGCCCTCCTCTCGCAGGCTAATCGCCCCGCGGGGAAGTGACGTCAGGCTAGGGGTCGGCCAATCACAGGCTCCCATTCAAATCCCAGCCCCCTTCCCGCGCTCGGCACCACCCTGCCTTACAATGGCCTCGGCGTTCACGGCTTCCCCGCCCCGAGGGCAGAGGAGCGCCCCCTCGGCTCTCCGAAGCCTTAGGCCTTCGTCTCCGAGCGCGCACTGCCTGGCCTTTCTCCAGAACTCCTCTTCCTCTTCCCAAGGCCTGGGAAGAGGGACAGCCACCGAGGATCCCCAGTTGGGGAGTCAAATGTACTCAGGTGAAGGGGCTGGGGGCGCACAGCGCGAGGCGTGGTCGCTCCAGGGCAGCTAAGTGCGCGGTGAGGAAGTGGACAGCTTTCAGAATCATTTTACCTTTAACCTCTCTTCCTTTCCCCTTGCCTAGCACTTTGCAGTAGATTCAGGCCGAGCCGCAGAAACCCGGATTAGGGAAAGAAACACGCGTCCTGCTGGGTGGGGGTCAGTGTCCCACAAACAGCACCTCACTTGCAAAGATGCTTGCTTGGGCCATGCTCCACTCTGGCTAAGCCTTGGCACTGGCCCTCGGTACCAGGTCACTCGGTCTCTCTTCTCCCTCAGTTCCTAGGTGCATCTAAGGGTATGCAATCGATTTTGTCTGGAGGCTTAGATGTGTGCTGGGTCAGAACTCGGCTCCTGATTAAATTCCTATTCCACGGAAAAGAAAGCACAAAGCATGCATCTGCCTCTTTCTCCACCCTCAGCGTATGTCTGGCCCACACACTGCAAGGGGCAACAGCAAGGCAAAAGGACTGGGTCTCCCAGAGCCAGCCTGGAATGGAGCTTGGCAGCAGCACTGGTGGCCTCTGGGCAGTCTTCCAAATGGGAGTGGGCACTGGGTTCCCTTTTTGGCTCACCTCGCCACCACACCCTTCTTCCTTGCTCCTGTACCAGCTCTCCTGCCTTTACCCCGGTTCACCTCATCTCCACTTTCCAGCCATCCCTGGGGGCAAAGGGTTAGATATGAAAACAGCACTATCCTGGCTTTCAGAAAAACCTTCTATCCGAGAGCTAGGGCGACCACCCAAAGTGGAATAGGTGGGTGGGTTCCCAAATTCCTGCAGTCAGCATAGAGTCCCAGAGCGGCTGCTTCTGCAGCGTTCCAGGGAGCAACCAAGGCTGGGGCCGATGCACTCATACCTATGCATTGAGGGAACCTGGGCGTGCTGGGCACCTCGGCCAGACAAACCCCTGCAGGAAGAGTTCCAAAGGAGAGGCTCAAAGCAGGGTAGGGGTGGTTGTTTGAAAAGTACCTCAAGATTTTTCCACACACTACATTCTCCTGTATTTTCTAAAAATGACATCTGGATCTTGTCAAACATTTCTTCCCGTACCGCTTATCTCTAATCTGTTCTCTCTTCATCCTGACCCTAAATGTAAGGTAGCTGTACCCTATCTCCCAGCCCCCTCTTCACCCCAGCCACGGTGTGGTTAAACTGCTATAGCATTTTTGTGCCTCCCCTCCAAATCCCATTTCGAAGTCACATCCCTTTCTCCAGGAGGTGAGCAAGGGCCAGACCGGGCTGGAACAGCAGAGAAACTGAGAGGCCCACCAGCCACAGGGCTCAGGGAGGAACTGCCCGAATTTGGGCCTGAGACAGTTAATTCAGAAGGATTTCTGTAATTGGGAGGTGCCCCTTGCTTTCTCTCCTCCTGCAGCTCCAGGAATCCACACCCTCTTCCCTCCTAGATGTGGTGTCTGTGTGTGGGCGGCCTCCTGAGCCTTAGTCCTTCTGGGCCAACCCAGGGTGAGGAAGATGGGGCTGCAGCGGTGGGGGAGGAGTGCTGTGCAGCTCACCTGAGAGGGAAGGCAGGGAGGGGGAGCAGGGGAAAGAGTGGGAATAAACCCCCTCGGAGTGTGATTTAAACTGGATGCCGCACAAAATGGCTCCTCAACAAGGCGCACGGTAACAGCACAGTACGGGAGACCCAGCCTGCGAGCCCAGGGCTGGCTGGGCCCCTGAGACAAAGATGACAAACTCCTTTTGGATTCATTTCAGATGCGGGAGGCCACTGTCACCAGATCCACCTCTCACTGCCTTTTTGGGAAACAAGTACCTTGGTGGGGAGCAGGACAGCTAGGGAGAGGCTCCCACACCCTGCTACGTGGGACCTGGCCTGGATCACTGAGTCCTCCAACTCTGTCTTCTGGCACCACATGCACCGGGATGCCCCCTCTCAGGAAGAGGGCTGCAGTGACAATGGGCCTCAGGGCCAGAGGGTGCTGTTGGGAGGAGCTGTTGTGTTCTGGTGGGCCAGGGAAGCTGGATGGCTATGGGCCCACAACTAGTGGTCAGTACCCATACACAGGGCCTGGGATGCCATCCAGTCTGACATCAGCAGACACACATTGTGTGGGACTTTGATGCCAACTGAGTGTCAGGCTGCTGGGCAGGCAAAGCCCAAGCTGGGAGATGCTGACCAGCCTTGGCTCTGGTCTGCTCCTCATCTGCACCTCACACTGGGTCTGAGTTCTGTGTGCTTCTTCCCACACCAAGCCCTTGGCCTTGGCCTACATCCCCAGCCAAGTTTCTAAGTCCCAGGAGAGCAAGAATTATTAAGTCTCATTGGCCACTTGGTGACCAGGCCAGAGCCCAAGTGGCTATGGCTAGTCCCTGGCCATGGTGCTGAGAGTGGCCCATCAGTCCTCTATGTGAGGTTCCGCTTGCCAATATCTACTCTATTTCCCTGCTAAGGTCCCCACTTGAGCTCCAGGGGTTCTTGCAGCCACCAGCAAAAGCCAGCAGGCAGCGTGGTGAATAGGCTCCTCTGCCAAAGGACCTCCATTTTCCCATATTTCATACTCAAACCTCCACTAAGAATCAGAGCTCTTTGGCTGGGGACAGCCTCTCTCGTGTCAGAATCTGCAGAAATGCCCATTTCTTTGACAACTGCTTGTGTGCCCTGCAGCCTTTTGATGCTGGAAATCTGCACAACCCTCCCTTGCACACTTGGTCCACACACTACAGCAGCCAGCTCAAGCTAGTAACGGTTACCTTGCCTGTGTGTGTACTTGTGCACACAACTGCCAAGCACTCCTGTGTCCACTGCCTGTAGTAGCCTTTAAACACCCAGTTGACCTTGCCTCAAGTGCCTGTTTCTTAACAGTAGATACACAGCTCAGTGCAGAGGTCCTGACAACTCACAGGAGTGGGCCTCCCCTTTCAGGATCCAGCAAGTTAAGTGATTAGGTGGCAGGAGAGAGGTGTAGCCCAGACCCTAGTAACAGCCCTATACAGACATCCTCATCCTGCGATCAGGCTTGCCCTGCTTCAGACCCTGGGAGCCTGAGCTCAGTGGAGAAGCAGCTCCATGGTCTGCCATTTGGTGTTGAACTAACACTCCTTTCCTGAACCCTTTGGATTTTAACAAGGGGGCTAGATAGCGCCACAACCAAGCTGTGCAGGCTATTTCTCCTTGCCTCCCTTTCTCTATTAGGCCCAAGCTTTGATTAAGCTGATCTTTCTATTGTCTGGAGGCTGGGAGGACTCACAGCTGAGCAACTCAGTGTCAGGCTGGTTTGAGGGAAACTGCTCCCTGCACCCAGAGGGGCCGAGGGAGACCTCCACATCCACCTCCTCTGCAGGTGGCTGGTTGGGCAGTAGGGCCCTCCCTGGCATCCACATCCGGCCACTCTCTCCTCAGCAGTTGAGGCGGAGGCAGCCAGGGTGTGGGCTCCAGGGAGGCCTAGGCTGAACAGGAACCTAGAAATACCTCTCCTGAGAAGGCCTGGGCAAAGCAGGACCCTTCCCCTGAGGTCTCCAGCACTCAATGTGGCTCAAAGGGGTCTCTGGAGATGAACCTAGTAAGACACACCCATCTTGGTACCTGCTAGCCTACTCTCTGGTCTCTGTCCCTTGACTGAAAGCCAGACCTTAATTCTCCACTTCCCTGGCTTAATTCTTCAGCTCCTCCAGAATACGGTGCTCAGAAAGGGTCTCCCCTTCAGGTCCAGCGCTTGGATCCCTCCCCAGCCACAGTGGCTCAGAGAGTGTATTTCTGGATCACAATGCTGCTTCGGCAATGTGACCCAAAACTCGCCCTGTTCTGCTCCCTCCCACTCATCTGGGGCCAGCCGAGACCACTCTTAGCCTTCTCTCAGAGACACTCCTCCCCAATCTCAGCCTCTTAAATTCGGTCACTCTCACCCAGCTCAAAGCAGGCCAGGCTGGAGGAGGCTGCAGTCACACTGATCGATTCAAAAGGCCTGCTCTGGAGCAAGAGTAGGGATCGGAACAGAAAGGATTTCTCAATAACTTCTCATGGAGGTGGGGGGGGGGGAGACAACGCATAATAAATCTTGTCTAGATTTGGTTCTCTGTGTTGTATTTTTGTCTCCAGGAAGCCACTGTCTAGGTTATTTTGTCTGGGGAGGGAATGGGGGGAAGAAAAGAGAAAGGAGAAAGCCAGGGGTAGGGACCAGGAAAGGCCAAGGACTCCCCAGGGCCCTTGCTTCCCAAATATTCTTTTTTCCTCCAGTAGTTCTGCAGGTCACAACTTCTACCCACCCGACACACCTGCCCTGCCTGCACACCCCAAGTCCTCAGCTCTCACGGCGGCTTTCCACTGTCCCGCGACCTTTGACCTTGGTCTTGCAGGGTTTGCGACTGAGCCCTGGCTCCCACCCACAGTCAGAGCGCACCCCTCATCCTGTAAGGCAAGCAAGGGAAGCACGGAGCCCCAGGACCTGCCCACTGGCAGGTCCCCTAGCCCAGTCCAACCCAGCTCGCAGCCGCTGCCCTAGCCCAGGCCCCGCCCTGACACCCTAGCCCTAGCCCCCCACCCCCACCCTCGGCCTCGCCGAGGTGCTGCAGCGGGTAGTGGCACTTACGGATCCGGAAGGGGGCCGGGGTCCCACGAGGCGACGGCGGGGGTGGGGCGGCTGCAGTGACGGCGGCTCGGCGGTCCCCGATCCGGCGAGTCCCCGGGCTCAGGCCCAGCTCGGGTCGCCCTCCAGGCGCCCCAGCCCGCGCGGGCGCAAGGCCGAGAGTGCGGGAGGCGGGCGCGGCAGCGGGGGCGCGAGGGCTCCCGGCCGCGCGCGGCTATCGGGGCTCTGAGCGGCTCCCAGCGCCGCCCGCTCGGGCGGGCACGGCCCGCAGTGACGTCAGCGCGGCTCCCCCCGCCCCCTCCCTTCGCCCCGACCAGTGCGGAACGGAGGGGGCGGAGGCTGCCGCCCGGGGCGCCGGGCGCTGCGCCCCGGGCCTCTCCACTGCCGCCCGCCGGCCTCCAGCCCTTCCCGGGGAGTCGGGCGCCATCGGCCCTCACCTCACGCCCCTCGCCGCGAGGCTCTCCCGGAGCCAAGGACCCGGAGGTGGCGGCGCACGGCGCGTTGGGAGCCTCGCCGGCGGCTGCAGGCTCAGGGACCCCGGCTGCTTTGGGAAGGATGGAGGACGCAGAGGCCGGGGTGGGGGTGCCGTTGCGCTCCGGGTGCCAAGTGGGCGCCTCCCCCGGCCCCGAGGCCGAGGGTGTGCACGGTGGCTTGGCCGGTCCTGGGGTCCCCCCGTGAGCGAGGCACGGATCTCTTAGAAACGTGTCTCTTCGGGGCCGGGGGTGCCTTCCAGTTGGATCCCGCTTCCCTAAGACCCGGAGCCGCGTCCCATTCCCACGCCGGGGGCGCGCCTGGACTCCCGGGCTGCGGACCGCCCCGCGCCGCTGTCCAAATGCTGAAACCGGCCTCCCCGGGGCGCGCTCCCGACTCCCGGCCACCCACCGCTTGGCGCCTGTGGCAGGGGCCGGCGAGGCGTCCCGGGACCCACGGCGCGGAGCCCCTGCAAACTTTAGTGCGGCAAGATGACGTCGAGAAGCTCCAGGAGGGGGAGGGAAGCTAGTCAAAGTGAGGCGGGAGCCGAGAGGGCGCACGCAGCGAGCAGCGGCCACCCTGAACCGCCGTCTTCTCCACGTGCCCGGGTGGGTCGCCCCAGTCGCCTCGTCTGTGACAGTTTCTCCCACCGTCACGGCAGGGGAGGTCCCTCCGGCTGAACTTGTCAGCGGGTCTCACCATCTATCAGGAGCCAGCCAGCCAGGCCAAGTTCACGAGCAACCGCAGTTAACCCCTTGCAAACAGAGCGCCTCAAAGGAGGGTCAGCGAGCGCTCTCTCCAGATCCCAGAGGCACCGCCTCCCGGGGGCGGCGGCTGCAGCAGCTCCGGTCTTTCCCCCTCCTTCTCTCCGGTCCGTGCTGCTGTTTTATTTACTTCTTTTGGTTTTCACTCTCATCTTCTCCTCTTGTAAGTTAACTGGATACCAGAACTTTCTAAACATCCTCTTTTATCCCTCGTTTTATGACTGCTCATTGTGGAAAAAATAGAAAGTTCAGAAAAATATGATAAAATAATTGGCCTTAATTTCTACACCTAGAGGCCTGACCTTAAATTTTTTTAAAAAAGAATATTCTCATTAGGAGTATCTAGATTGCTTTTTCTGTGGAGTGGGGGAAGGACCGAGAGAAGGAGAGAGGAAGAGAGGGAGAGGGAGAGGGAGAGGGAGGGAGAGAGAGAGAGAGACAGAGAGAGAGAGAGAGAGAGAGAGAGAGAGAGAGAGAGAGAGAGAGACTGAGACTTAATTTGCTAGAATGAGGAAGGAAAAAACAAAAACCAGCCCTTAGAAAAAACATTGAGGGTTCAGAATAGGTGACCTGTTCCAGAGTCCTTCTAGAGGGATCTTGGAGAGACTCACTGTGATAGCGACTGGACACAGGGACCCAAAGAGAGACAGCAGTTAGAATCTGTGGTAGGGACCAGAGTGGGGCCAGAAACTGACTTCCACCTTTCACCCACAGGTCCCTGTTTCAGCCTCCTAAGCCCAGGGAGTTCGGGGAAACCCTGGCCAGCCCAGCGTGGCAGCCTGGCCAGGAGCCCGTGTGTGCAGGGAGTGTCCCTGCCCCGCCCCTGTGGAACCCCAGCCACCTCCCCGAGCTCTCTCCCTCCCCTCCCTGCGGTCTGCAGACCCGGGCTCCCCTCCCCCACCTCCCATTGAATTCCTGGCGTCTGATAGCTGGCGGCAACTAGGGCGATCTACCAACTCTTCCCCTGGGCATTTGCTTACCCCCTTCACCCCCCAGTGCTTTCTTTTTTTCTCTCAGAGCTCCTTTTGTAAGGAGGCACCCAGGCCCAGAACGTGTTCTGCAGTTTAACTACTTCCAAATTCTTTGTTCGGGTCACCCCGGGACTCCATTGTCCGCTACTGCGAGCGCGGGACGGCCGGCGGGTGCGCCTGTGCCGGGCAGATCTGAATCCATTAGGCCGCGGCCCGGGCCCCTGCGGCCACCGACGCCCCGCCGCAGCCGGGCGCCCCCTCCCTCCCTCGGGGCCCGCCCTGCCCTCCCGCGGCCGCAGGGGTGAAGGTGCGGCAGGGGGCCGTGCGCACGGGGGTCAGCCGGTCACCCTCAGGCTGTCCAGGCCCCGAGGACCAGTGAGGCTGAGAGGGGGGCCCAGAGCACCCCCAGCCTGGTCCCCCCTCGCTCAGATTCCGGGGAGGCGGAGGGAGGGATGTGAGTGAGGCCTGCAGGGACCTGGGCTTCCCGGGGGGGGGGGGGGGCTGGGGACAGACCCCGGGGCCCGCGCCCTGCGGCGCCCGATGAGCTGCGTCCCTGCAGCCCCCTGGGGCCCGGGGCCTCTAGAGAAAGACCTGCGCCCACGGTCTTGCGTGTTGGCCTTGAACCCACGGAAGGAGCAGCGCTCGGGAGCAGGTCGCTCAGAGCCGGCGCCCAGGCGGCGACTGGTGCGGTTCCTGTGTCTTTTCCCTGCGCCCCGAGGCCACCCTCGGCCCGGGCCCGGGGGAGCGGGGCGCAGACGTGGCCTGCAGCCTGGCTGGGTGGCTCGAGCCGTCCCCCTCCGCCGGGCTCCAGGCCCGACGCTCGCGCCGCGGAGACCCGGCCGGACCACGGGCTCGCACGGCTGGTCCACCCCGGCACCTCCTCCGCGCGCGCGTCCTCCCCGCGGTCCCGCGGCCTCCAGGCTCCGTCCTGCCCGGCGGCGGCGGCGGCGCCGCTACACGCTGTCCAGCAGCGCTCTCTGGCGGCCTTCTCGGGAGATGCAGGTGCCCGCGGCTCAGGCCGGCGCGGTGGCGGGGAAGACTGCGGACGCTGCCAGCATGCGGGAGCCCGAGGACAGCCGGACACCTCTTTCTGCTCGTCAAACTCCAAGAAACAGTCAGTGGCATTGGAGGGCCACCAGGACCTGGGACTTCAGGACCTTGGTCCCCCACAGCTGCAGCCCCTACAGCCGAAGCGTCAGTCCCTTCCAGCTATACTCTCTCTGTGCGGGGACAAAGCCCAACAGGACCAAGGTTGCCCAGCTATAAGTTGATAGAGGCAGAACTCAGCCACAGGCCTGTTCTACTCCGTCTTCATCTCCTTTTCCACTAAGACGAGCACAGTCGTCTAGAATGCAGTCCTCGTTAGACTGCTATTTAAAACATGACTGCTCAGGGGTCTTTTCTTGCTTGAAATCCTTCCTTGAGCCCTGTTCGAGGTCCCAAGTCCCTCCTTAGCACGCCCTGCGACCTGTGTCCTGATCCCATCAGGTCTTCTACATTCCCATCATTTCCCCCAAGGCCAAAGTCTGGCCCAGCCCTGCTTTTGTGGATACCCAGTTTTTCTGCCTTCAGTGCCTCCCCCACACCCACAGGGGGACCGTTACAATTCTGAGTGTCCCTTACACTATGAAAGCCCCAGACCCAGACATACCCAGCCAACCTCTTGCTGACATCTAGCGTGGTCCTCAGACAGTCCAAGGCTGCCAGGGCCTCTTCTGATCTCTGGAAGGAGACCCCAGGCTGGGAAGGTCTAACGTCTGCAGCAAGTCCAGGGCAGTCCGGGCTCTTGGCATCGCTGCCCTGCTCAGCCCAGGGAGCAGGAGGCCAGAGGGCCAGAGCAGGTGTGTAGGGGGTGGAGCATGGAGAAAGCCAGGGGCTGCAGGGAGAGTCCTGGCTGGAAGACCCAGCCTGGTTCCAAAGCTGCACAGTCCAGGAGTTTCCAGCGAGGCTGTGGCAGGCACGCCACCATGTGGCAACTGTGACAAACAATTGGCAGTCGGCTTGGGGACCAGTTCCCAAGGACGCACTCATGTGCCAGTGTTGAAGGTGTCAAGGAGCACCTGGGGATGTGCTTCCGTTTAAATGCCTGCTGGGTGGGTGGATGCGCTGTACCATACTTGGTGTTAATCTGCTACCTAGGCCTCAGCCACAGGTGCTGGGTTTTTTTTTTTTTTTTTTGTCTTTTTCCTTTTTATCGGTACCAGGGATCGAACTCACGACTGCCTGCTTGCAAGGCAGGTGCTTATGCCGCTGAGCTAAATCCCCAGCCCCACAGGTGCTGTTTTTATCCTCATTCAGCCAAGGGGAAACCCAGGCACAGGGAGTGTAAGTGATTCACCATGATCACAGCTAACTTAGTAGCTGACTCACGATAGAGACTCAGAGTCCAAATTTTTAACCACTCTAGCAATATTTGTATGTTGTTCCTTTTCCAGTTTAAATAATCCAAATAGCCATAAAAACCACCCAGCCAGCACTTATTAGACGCCACTGTAAGCCTTTCTCAACTCTTCCCTTCCTCCACGAGGAAGGGGTACTGGCTCTTCCACCTCCACATTCTCGGCTCCCAGCAGAGAAAATGCGGTCAGCACTGAAGCCCAGAGAAGCCGCGGAAATCTCCACCCTGTTTCTGCAGACTTTCACTACTCCTTAGCAAGGGCTGGTTTCTCTCTTCCAGAGACTCCAACAAAAGGCTTTGAATATTCCACACACAACCATCCTCCACAGTGTACCCTGGGGTAAGTTTTGGAGGAAACGTAAATCTAAGGTTCCCCGTGACCACCAGTTTATTGAAAGCAGTGATTTGGTAGCAAAGACACTAGAGTGGCTAATAAAACACCAGGCTTCGCTATACAAACTGGAAAACTAAAAGTAATTTTTAAAAATCTGAATTCCCTAGAAGCCTGGATTCAGGATATGAATTAAAAGCACCAACTAGAGGCAGGGGTCACTTTCCAGCTGCCTCTGAGCAAAATGGCCCAGTGTGCAGTCTTCTGTCTCCTTACTGTGAAGAGCTGGCAGCGGTGACTTTCTGATCTTGGACCACACACAGTGCATTCTTTTTGTTTTTTTCAGGACTGAGGATTGAACTTGAGGCCTTCACACTGGGCTGTTAGTGTTTGTTTTGGAATAGGCTCTCCCTAAGCCACTAAATTGCCCAGGCAGGGCTCAAACTTGCCATCCTCCTGCCTCAGCCTCCCAATGCGCTGGCGTTGCAGGTGTGCACCACCGTGCCTGACTGGCCATGTGTTCACGAACGTAACAGTTCCATGGGCTGTCTCTTGATTTGCTGCCTCCCAGGCAGAGGTAGAAGGAGCCCTGGCCTCTGGGAGACCAGTTCTGTGATATTCTGGGGGTCCCGCCAGCTGGTGCAGCCTGAATTTCTTCCCCAGGCCTACCAACAGTACCCAATTCCCTGTGCTAATTTATATCTAATTCTGTTCTGCTTAAAGCATCAGTGTAGACAGTTTGCAATAGCCAAATCTTGGAGACAGCCCAGATGCCCATCAACCATAGAATAGAAGGTTTGTTGGTACCAGGAATTGAACTCATGACCTCGTGCTTGCCAAGCAGGCACTGTGCGGCTGAGCTACATCCCTGGCATGTTTTTTTTTTTTTAAGTGAAATGGAGTGCTACTGTGCTATGAAGAAGGAGGATAGGTCTGAGACATTCCTAGCTAAATCGATGCACTTAAAGACCATACTCCTAAGTGAAATAAATCAGACACACATGTTCAAATGTTTCGTGGTTTCTCTGATGTGAGAAATCAAACGTGTAAATAAGGGCTGAAATGTATAAACAGATATTGGGAAATGGGAAGAAATTTTTCAAATGAGAAAGGGTACAAGGGAGGGGGAGGGGGAAAGAAGAGACAAGAAAAAATAGAAGGAAAAATATAAACAAGGCTTTTGTAAACAAAGAGGAGAAGGGAAGGGAGAGGAATAGAGGAAAAAGAAGAAGCGATCTCTTGGACTGGGGATTTAGCTCAGCGGCACCTCCCATGCAAGTGCACAATCATGAGTTTGAGTCCCCAGTACCAGAAAAAAATAAAAGATCCCTTATGTACAGGTACGAGCTCCTTGTATGAATGTTACCGTTATGTATATCTAAGATTTACCAGTAAAAAATAAAGCATCAGCATGGTTTCCGTTGCTGTGCAGCTCTCTGACTGATACACATTTGTTCCTTCCTCTGTTGATTTCCCAGACATTTCCTGAGTGTCTGTGAGGTGTGAGTGCTCATGCCAGGGCAATGGTGTAGGAAGAGCCTGTGTGGTCAGACCACTGTCATTGATCCCAGTTCCCACTCCTTGCTGGATCTCTGTCCAACCAGCACCTGCAGCCTCTTCTGGGACTGTGTGGTGTGAAAGCTATGAGAGATAAGAGGTGGGGGTGCCCAGGAGTTGGTGTCCTGGCCCCCTGGCATCCTGGAGCCTCAAGGACCAGGGGACACGCTCCTCCGGGCTTTTGCTAGAAACTCTCACTCCCTTCCCCGTTCTCCTAGGATTCATTAAATCACCATAGCATGCAGCTCCTTCTCTTGGGGTACACCAGGGGGAGCTGACTCAAACCAGGCACCACAGTGAGGGACCAGGCCAGGGAGGACTTTGGTCATCGGGCTGTGGGAGGGACTCTGCCCAAGAGACCCAGGGGACCCTTGCTCATTGTTTGGCAACCCTTGAAGGGCTGGCCAGGAACAGAGCAGACCAGGCAGCCTAGGATCCCCTAAAATTGGAACGGTCTCGTAGTGGTTCATTTTAGGTGTCAGCCTGGCTGGGCCATGGGGCACAGCTGTTTGATCAAACATCTGGGTAGATGCTGCCATGAAAGTGTTTTTAGATGCGATTGATGTCTAAATCAGTGGACTTTGAATGCAGCAGATGATTCTCCATAATTCTGGTGGGCATCAGCCAATCAGGTGGAGGCCTTAGGAAAAAGGCTGAGACCTCCCCAACAGGGGACAGTCGCCCTCTGGCTGGCTTCCAGACTGCAAGTCCACTCTTGTCCTGCCTGCCCTATAGATTTGGGACCTGTCAGCCCCCACAGTTGTCAGTTGTAAAGGAACTGCCAATCCCTTCATGTAAATCTCTCTCTCTGGAGCTGGCGATATAGCTCAGTGGCATAAGTGCCTTTCTGCCGAGTGCAAGGTCCTGAGTTTGATTCCCAGTAACAAAACAAAACAAAACAAAACAAAACAAAAAAAATAAGTCTCTCTTTTTGTCTTTCTTTCTCTGGTTTGGTTTGGGTTTTTGAGACAGGGTCTCACTATGTGGTTTAGGCTGGCCTTGAACTCCTTATAGTTTGGGCTGACCTCAAATGTTCAGTGCTCCTCCTGCCTCGGCCTCCCAACCGTGGGGGTTACAGACATGTGCCATCTTTGTCTACATATACACACAGACATTGACACATGCACAGCTGTGTTCCATATAATATTTCAGCCAATGATAAGGCTGCGGTTATGACAGAGGTCCAATAAGGTTGCAAGGGAGCTTTAAAAAGTTCCGTTGCTTAAACTGGGGGTGATGGCACATACCTATAATCCTAGTGTTTAGGAAGCTGCGGCAAGATCACAAATTCAAGTCCTACCTGGGCAGCTGGTCAGGAACCTGTCTGGAAAAAATAAACAAAAAGGGTTGGGGATGTAGTTCAGTGCAAAGGCTCTGGGTTCAATCTCCAGCACACATATGCAGTAAAAGTACTAGCTTTTATTTTTCAGCACTGCAAGGGAACCCAGGGCTCCTGCATGCCGGGCATGAGCTCTACCACTAAGCAACATCTCCATTCTGTGAATTTTTTGTTTTGGGGACAACGTCCTTTTTTTTTCTTTCTTTTTTCTGGTACCAGGGATCGAACTCACGACCGCCTGCTTGCAAGGCAGGTGCCTATGCTGCTGAGCTAAATCCTCAGGCCCCCCCCCCAGCTACCTTTGAATTGGGGTCCTCCTGCCTCAGCCTCCAGAGTAGCGGGCATTACAGGCACGCAGCATGGCACCTGGTTAGTTGTATGTTTAGTTTCCCAAGTGCTCCCCAGGAGATCCCAATGCCTACAGTGCTCATCAGTCACATCTGGGGTGCCATAGCCCTCATATGTAACCTGTACTCTGTGACACTTGCACAAGTAAATTGGCTGAATAAAGAAGTGAGATAATTGTTATTGAGTGCAGGCGACGATTCTTGCATTAAGTGATCAGCCCCTGTCAGCCACTACCTCCACCCCACTCTCCTCTTCAGTATAGCCTAAGAAAGTGCAAATATACAAGGCAGAGA